AGCTCCTGTGATGATTGATGCAATTGTCGTATATTTTAGAATAAAACCGAACTGAATAACACTTTATGTGATCCTCACTGGGTAAATGTACCATCGGGAAAGTGGCAGGCAAATGGAAAACATGCAGATACACCCCAAAATTGGTACTAATGAAAATAAGATAATGTTCAGTAATGTTATACATAAAAAGTTAGAAAAAAAATATGCAAACCACTCATTTTACAAAATATACAAAACTTAGCGGAATTAGATAATGGGAAGTTCGCACTAAAAGTGTTTGTAGTGTGATCATTTGAAAAAATATGTCAACATGTGAATAATTGATAGTGATGTAAAGAGCTTATTGTGTTCGATGGAAAGGTTGATAGTTTTACAGTCAAACAGCTGCTTGGAGGAACAAACTACCCACTATTTGTACTGCAACTAAATACACTAGAGCAAATAATGACTTTAAATTAGACAAAATGATGAGGAAATGGTCACTTTGTCTTTAACATCTCATATTTTAGCCCTCATTACTAGTACTATAGGTAAATGTAGAGTTTTAGGTCAAGTCATGTCTTTAGAAAGGAAGCCAATATTCAAAGATGGAACCCCTTTCATGACACAGAGAGGCGGAAATTTTGCTTCAATACTTTTCTTATTCCATATGGCTAAAGTTGCGACTGAAGATTCCTGTTGGAATCTTCCAGCTGCACAGCCAGTGGCGGCTGGTGAAAAATATTTTTGGTGGGGCTGATATAGCCTAGTGTATGTCTCCAACTAATCCGGAATAAGAATTCAAATAAACAATTGGACAATACATACAATTTAACAGTAATGATTTAATTTACTATATAATAACAGTAACAGTGATGATTTGGGTCACTGTGACGGGGTTCTTTGGCCTCCAAGAATCCAGTCTCAGTCGGGTTACCGGTGTTGGTGATTTATTGAGCTCAAAAACTCAAAACAGGGTTTAAAAAAAACTAAACATGTACAAGATACTCTGGGCCTCAGCCTCCCTCCAGTTACCAGCAATGTAACAAAGAAACAGAAAACAAAAATTGCCGCTTTTCTTCCCACAGCCCTCATTAAATAGTTTAAGCCCCTCACCTCAGGCTCTCTTATTTCTGATTTCTTCTCATTAATCAGTTTTGTCCATATATTACCTCCACAAACAATTGATGTACAAAAACAAATAATTTTTACAACTTAATTCTTTTACACAGATTCATTGACTTATTCAATTACACCAAACTGGGTTTGAACCCAGCAAAGACGCAGCCAGACTGAAGATGACAAGTCCCCGTAGCATAAACACGTACACACCCACACCCCCCACACACCCACACGCACACACACACACACACGGCTAACCCCACTGAAATATTAAGTGTGCACCCTCAATACGCCAGCAGGTAACCAGGAACAGCTTGTGTGTTTTAAGTTCATGGAGCTACTGGGCTCAGCGCGAGTGTATTGGTCCTCACAAACACAGTATAACAAGAATGTGTGTGTGGTGCGCAAAGTTAGAGAGGTTGTTTTAAGCGACGAGGTGGATTCGTCACAGTCACAATAACCATGACATGAAATGTTCATATCCTACAACAGGGATATTCTTCTGGCAAACGGGTAGATAAATAAGGATCTCACCGAATTTGGTGGAAGCTGCATCTCGGTCGTTACATTCGCCATCTTCCCTCTAACTGTCTGCACCTGCGCTTGGGTTCAGAAGCCTGTTAAAGCGCAGTATTTTCAGCGCCCCAATACCATAAAGTTCCGAGACGCTGATTGGCCATTAAATTCACCTAGCAATAGTACATGATTGACAGATTCTCTGCAAATGTGGGTCAGTCTGATCAGCGCCCCCAGAACAGAGACGGTAGGAGTCTGTCTGTGGAAATCCACAAATTAATGACAGTAGATAGGGAAATGTAGTTTATATAATTTGTTTTGCTTATAGGTACACAGTCTAGAGAGTAAAACTGACATTTATGAGTTAATTTCTAAAAATTTATTTACGTTTCTATCTTCTTATCAGGGAGGGCGGTGCCCCAGCGCCCCCTATGGGCCGGCCGCCACTGTGCACAGCCCTCATTTAAGTAGATGTAAAAGTACAAAATCAGCAACCACCAGCAACTTTGCCCTCCTCTGACTCTATTTTTAAACATATCGCCACTGGTAAAAATAGCTAACTTCAGTTCTTTCCATTGAGCAACTTCTACATTGATGATTTTTGTCAGTGTGATCTGTTACCACTTAGCCTTGGTGTTTTTAAAGATAGCAGAAACTTTTGAGCTTATGACTGGACTTGTCACAGGTCATACCAGGCCAGACCTGGTGGGCCAAGATACACTTTGGTCCAGTCCAAGGCTCTCCTATTGTAATTAAGCACATATATGGAAATAATTCTGTTTCATAGAACAAATCATTATTACAAATCAATTATTAATGAATTTATGTATAAATAAAGGCAGTGGTCAGAGGCTAAAGTGTTTTAATTAGGGCTGAAAACATAATCGGATTAATCCTCATAAATTATTGAAATGACCGTGATTTAGTATTCGTAATAGTTAACTTGAGTATCGAGAGTCTGAAGCATGCCTTTAGCTGAAAGAGCAACCCACTGAAAGCATTTAATACTGAAAATGTAAAATATATAAAAGCATTTTGTATTTAATCTGGAAAACCTTTTTCCATTAATATGCTCTATCCACAAATCTTCAAAGGGCTTCCCTTGGTTTTAATTCTTTGTAAGATCTTTTCTAAGGCTCTTTTTGGCATCCAATTTTTAATCGACAGAATAGGCTTTAATTGCAGCCTTGTTATAATATTATTTTTTATCTGTTGAGCTTTTCGGAGATCAATGAAAAATAAAGTAAAAATTTCACATTATGTAATGTAAATATTGGTCTTTTACTTTTATTTTGAACAACAAAAAAATTAAAATAGTTCAACATGTGTTTAAAATACCAGAATATGTCCAAGACTTATTATATTACTTATTTTCATCTTCTCGACTGCATAATTTGTGTGCAAAATGTGAGTTTATATGCACTACCATGCTGTGTGTCTGCTTATAATATAACTAATCACCAAAAATACCAAGGTCATTTATTGGTTTCTGTCCAGCCTCGGTCACCAGTCAGGCTCCGCTATATAAAAGTGATGCTCTTTATGTCATCAAGTAATCCTTTTTTTTACTGCATCTCTAAAGTGTTCCTTTTTTTTTTTTTTTTTTACCATTACACAGGTGGTAATAACATATGGGAAGATGAGCAGTCAGTGGACACCTCCTCATCCTCTCCTCATATCCCTGATCCTGTGTCCTCACACTCCTCTGTCACAGATACAGTTGAAGTTCCCAAACCAGCGGCCATTCCTCTGAACCGTTTCATGGTCTCTCGGTTCTCCATCACACATGTGTCTGACTCCCATTCAGGCACAACAACAGGTCTGTAATCAAAACCTATTTCTATACTTGAGAATGCTATTTAATTTACAGCTCTAATGAAACAAAATTCCTTGTGCCTAACAGGGAGCAATGAAGATAACCCAAGCAACTGAATCTTGCAGGAAAGACAAGAAGAAGAGAAGCAGAGAAGCATTATTATATATTAAAGATGATTTACAGAGTTTATTTTGTAGTATTGGGGATATCTGAATATGAGACACTCTATGAGATGGTGGCTCATATGGTGGTTGAAAACCTAATTGATTTGCACAAACTTTACTTCTTGACGTATGTGCAATAGCAGTAGGAATGGAATTTTGATTGCAGATAAAATTTATATATGTTTGAAGGGGAAAAAATCGTTTTATTGCAGCTTAAATATTTTGCTTAATGAATGCTGGCAATCCTTATGGTAACAGGTTTTTCTTTTTAATGCGCAAGACAAAAATGGGAAAATAAGAACAGGCTTTATTGTCATTTCTCCCATTGGCTGCCTTATTACTTATGCTTTGAAACTAGTTCTGGCAACTTTAGGACTGTTACAGAATTCATAATAAGAAGAAAATGACTTGAAAATTGTTCCATTAAAGGTCAAGGGGAAATAAATTCTGTATCATTTTCCATATTGAGCTGATTATGGCACTCGTGTACAAAAACTTACAGATGTAGGCCAGTTCCAGAATCACCATCACTAGACACTTTTGATTATTTAGCACTTTGTGTAGCCTTAGTTGCTCTCCAATTTCTTGTACTAGAATAAATTAGCTGAACACAAGTCATTGTCATTCATAGTACAAGGTTTGTTTAAATCTAAACTTTTTTTTTTTTAGAAAAAAATCAGACTAAGACGTTTTTCCACAAAACTGTGTGGTGTCACCGTAAACATCTCAGTCATAAAGGTGGAATGTCACTTCTAATGTTAAAATATATTTTCTAAGAAAAAAAAAAAAAAAGAAAAAGACACATGATATTGCAGTTTTGGTGAATGTCTACTCCTGAGGTGAAACCAAGACATTCAGAAAAGGACATTCTGGTATATTATATGAATATTATATCAACATGTAGCAGGTAGCTTGAGTAGAATTATTACTGCTGTATTCACTGTTGTATTCCCTCCTCTGTGCATCCTTCTGTAGATCCAAGTTTCAATGCCCCCCTCCACCCACTATGCCTTTTAAGTTGTGCAAGATTGAAAAACTGTTGCCAGTATTTTTGTACACAGATTTTAAAAAAAAATGCATCTAGGATGAATGTTTATTGAATTTGCCAAAGAAAAACTGCAAAGCCTGTTGGCTTTTAAATGGTGGATGCCTTTGGGGAAGACGAGGTTGCTCTATGCACCAGAAGTGACATTGTTGCTGTTTCCATTTATTCCTCATTCATTGCTGTTGTACTATCCACGCCCTTCAAAAACCTGAATAAATTCAAGTACTCCCCCCCCCCCCCCCCCCCCCCTTGCATCTGTGGTATATTCAATGAAGTTTACATCTGCTTTTTTCTGTTTGAAACAAGTAGTAAAAAGTGGGGTTTAAAAACAAAGATGGAAATAAGACAGCTGCGCAAGTTTAAATTTATTTGTTACGTTTAATTTAAATGCATTTCTTTAAAGAATGGATACAGTACAAACAGAAACAGAAGGGAGAAATAAAGACAAGGGCAGCCATGTTTAATTCAATTTTGTACAAAACAAATAGATATTAAATTGTGACATAAGTGTGATCACATCAGGTTAAGGACTAGTTAAAAAAAAAAAAAACTAAAAACTCTCACAAACAATGCTTAGGAAGGCAATGCAGTCCATTCACTCAAACATTCATATATTTTAACCTCTTTTGCTGCAATCTACACACAAATGTATATGTATATATATGTGTGTGTGTTGTTGTGTGATTGTATTTTTACTGTGACCCAGATTAGTGTGAAATGTAATACTGTGAATGGAGGATAATTAAAAAATATATATATACAATACTGGGGATGATATCTAAATGATCTATCACTCCCTTAAAGCTAAATACTAGGAGAAAAAAAAGAATTATATCCCAAGTTCTGTATATTTTTTTAAATTATACAGAAAAAGTGGCTTCCCACACATAAAAAAACAAAAAATAATTAAAACTTGAGCTCAAATATTTCCATGAGCATTGTCAGGACAAAACAAGAAAATCTGTACAACAAAGAATCACCCTTGAACCATTTTAGCAGAACAATTAGAACATGATAGAATGATTAATGTAGATAAAACCAGCAAAGACTTGTAGAAGGCACAGGAAATTGACTGAGCATGGAGTATCATTGATAAACAATCATCTATATGATCTAACAGAAGCACAATTGAAGCATAATAACAAAAAGGGTGGTTGTCCTGCTTTCAGATCACCCTCAAGTAGCAATCCTATTGCAAACATAATGGTCTCAGAAAATGTAGAGTTTTTAGTGTTAAAAAGATAATAATGATAGAACTTAAACTTCCTAGCCTTACCTTGTGGTCTAAATAACTTAATAAATCTACCATTACCATAACATATTCAGGCAGAGATGTTTAACTGTGGTCCTAGCTGTAGGTTTTTTTGTTTTTCTTTGTTCAAAGGACATTTTCTATACCAGAAGAAATCAAATTCTCTTATTTGTTGAGACGATCAGACCTCTGGGCCCTCTTCTGGTAAAAGAAAAATGCACATCATGGCTTGTTACTGTCCTCTTCTTTTAAAATAGGTGCCCAATAGTGGGAGAGAGGAGAAAGCAGGTTGCTAGTAGTATATTGGTGCAGAGCGATCATCAGAGAATGAGGGCCGGAGAAAGACCTCGAGGGAACGGTCACTGTGGGGAAAGGAGGGGGTAGACAGTCAGAATTAGCGTCAACTTTATCCCACACATCAACAAACAGAAACGCTGTTAAACCTTTCAACCACACCCACAGTAACTGCTACATTCATTTTTTGAGGTGGAAAAAAAGTTGCTGTTTTGTGAGATCAAGCATGAGATGAGAAACCTTTCAAACATCACCAATGAAAAGCAGTTGGTAACACAAAGGTGAAAAATAATCGTTGGTATCCCTGGCGAACATGTGTATAAAGCAACTAACCGAACCCCTAATGATTACCAAGTTGAAAGATCTGGTGACAAAAATACACCGGCAATTTAAGGAGTGGATCCTGCTGTTCCAATTTAGAAAAAAATTGGGCCTTTAAAAGAAAAACAGGCCCGTTGTGTTGCAGATCATTAATTTTAACAGCAGCCTGATTCAGCGTGAACCCAGAACCCCCGGGACCCAAGCTGAAAGCTCCAACTAGTAGGCCACCCATCCCCTATTATTAAAATTATTGAAATGACAGTGATCTACAAGTGCCGACATGTAATCAGACAGCTATACATCACTTAGAAGGTGAAGCTGTCACTCAGACAATATCCCAAAGTGTGTAAAAAGTCGGATAGCTTAAGATTATGTAATGGTATTAATGGATAATTGGTGCGATTTAAATTTAAAAGCCTGTATTATCTCTCACATTTATAGCCATTCAGGAAAAAAAACTAAAAAGAAAGGGACTATTCTGTCCAAAAATGTGTGGATGAAATGAAAAAGGTGAATGTAATGTAAGATTTATCTTAAATGCATTAATAAGCTTACCAACAACTTTACATCTTATTAGAAAAAAAATTAAAATAACTTTTAACATAGGCTTCATAATTGATCCAAACGTATTAGATTTAAAGCCTGAATTATCTTTGTGATAATAAAGATATAGGTTTGAATATTTAAAGGCTTTCTACACATCTTCAACAGGTTTACCAGCAGATCTGTCAAAGTATTTATGCAGGCATGCATGGTTAATATCTAATGAGGAGGATATTGGGTTATTGAAATAAAGAAAAAAGAGTGCACAACCCAAGGCCTGCCGGATTGCAAAGACCAAAAAGAAAAGACCAGTAATTTCCAGTATCCTATTCTAGCAGGTGACCAGCAAAAAACAGATGAGACCAAGCATTAATAGAGAGAAGAAAAACAGAGGTGATAAGTTTATTGAGCGGCGATGGAGACTGGAGGGACTTACAGCAGTCCTGTTCCCTCAGAACCGGGACAATTCTGGACCCAAACTGGAAGGTAAAGAGAACCTTGGGGTTTGAGTGGTTCACACCTCAAATCATGCATGAGGTAAAAACTTGTAATGACAATTGTTAGTCTGATGCAAGACAAATATACTGTACGCTGGTTATATTTCAATGAAAAATGCAAAACAGCGGTGCAACACTACTGTGCATGCTACACATGCCTCGTCAATTCAACACAGTCTCAACAGAGAAAATTATACTGAGAATGGACCAAAATAAATAGTGAAAACGGCTAATTTATTTAAACCAAATACAAACCTCACACAAGCAAAAATTCAAAATCAAGGAATGTGTGCAGGCAGCAAAAAGTCAGATTCCCACAATAAAAATACTGTATCAAAACACCACTTTTACCCCCAAAGGACAGTACAGGTACGACATGGGTGGGAGGAGGAGGCAGGAATGAAACATGCATGGGACACAGCCGTAACGGAATTACTCACAAAATGTTACTTTTTAAGTAAAAAAAAAAAAAAAAAAAAAAAAGCAGAAAGAAAACACTGAAACAAGGGAAATTCCTCGTCAGTGGCAGAAAATATTCCTCGTCAGACCAGAACCATTTATTAATATATAGAGATGTGTTTTATTCAGAATACCTTTGTAAAAAGTCACCATACATTCAAGGTCAATTTTAAGAGTCACGTTTTTCTGGTTTTCCCCTCCACAGCATGCATGAGTATGTTTATCATTGTATCTTGAGATATTTTACAAGGACAGTATTTATTATTGATAGTTTTTTTTTCCCTTTAAAAGAAAAGACCAAACTTGTACAGCCATTCAGGAAAAAAACAAAAAAGCAAAACAAAACAAGGAAAAATGCATAAAAGCTGTGGTCGTAGTTAAATGTCAAATTATTCCCAACTATAATTTAAGGGTGGTCAATAAAAAGTTTGCTAATAAAGCTTGAAGTGGGAGAAAGAAATGATTCTATGATAGTTTAAGCAACAAATCTTGGTAGTAAGTCAGTCAGGAATGCAAATAAGTAAATAGAAATAAACAAATATATAAAGAAATATGCCCAAGGGTGTAATGTTAAGTATTCAATTTTTGTAAATATATAATTAATATGTTAAGTGTGTATAAAGGAAAATATTAAAGTAAGGCCAATATGACACCCTCTTGACAAAAAGATCTAGCACTGACACGAGGAAGCACAGCAGGACCTGTGGGATTTCTCAAAACAAACACAGCAAGCTATTGGACAGAGTTACTTATAACATAGCTTTTTTTTTTTGTATGCTTGTTGGGTAGGAACTCAATATTAGGGCCCTCGCGGTGCTTAAGGAAAGGCCATTCAGTCAGTGGCTTAAGTACAACGACACTGAGGTCTTTTGGCACTTGAACAGTACATGAACATGTCTTTCAGTTTTTTGACAAAATGACACAACCATGTACATGCATGAAAGACAAGCAGTAGCAAAGGCAGTCTCTTGAGAGAACAGTCCAAGATGTGCGGACTGATTAGAGAGTGTTCAGAGTCCGTATCGCTGCATGTCGAGCAGGTAGGCCCCGCTCGGGGTTTCATGTTCAACGCAATCCTCCACCCACCAGCCGCTACTGTCCACACCAACGCCAGAAGAAGCAGCAGCAGCACCCAGGATGGACAGGAGGAGGAAAAGGAGGAACCCGGGGAGGAAGAGAGGACAGAAAGGAGGGATGAAATTGGCCTCTTCCATTCGGAGAAGGGGTGTGAGTGGAGGCAGAGGTGCAGACAAGTGGACAGGCAGGGAGGGGAAGAGGAAGGAAAAGATGGGGGAGGAAGAGGCCCCTGTGCTATCCGGAGCTGTCTGTGTCTGTCTGTATGTGTGTTCTCACACAGTCGAAATCAATTTTCCATCAGGACTGTCACTGTGGAACAAAGAGAGAAGGAAGCTTGCCAGGTCGGACACACTCAGAGAGAAATGGAGAGAGACAAGACAGGCACAAGGAGGCAGGGTGGTTTGGAGAGGTAATGCAGGGGGGGGCTCAGGAAATTACTGTTGGCCCCACCTACAAAACTCCAATCACACCTGCAATAATCATGAAGACCGGAGCTTCAGTTTCATCATCAACAACTCTAAACAGAAATCTAGTTTGTCCCACAAATCAAAGTTTTACAATTTAAATCATGCCCCAAATGGATGCAAAAAGATGAAAAAAGGCACAGCTGTTGATGAGGAAATTTCTCAGTGATCTTTGTTGCTGTAAGGATGTAGTATTAGTCTGTGAGGGTAAATACACCCTATACGATGATAATACTGATACAGAAGAAATAAAGACACATTTAGAGCAGACAGGAAAGTGAAACAGCAGCTTGATGCTAAAAAGAATCCAGGCTGCCAGGCAAAAAATGGCTGACATGACATCTACTGTTAAAACAAACTTCAACACTTTGACAAATGCTCATTCACCTCAGGACACTGTTCTCTTTATCAAACGCACATCACCTGACACACATAAGAAAAGCACGATGTTCTCCCTAATTAGACAGGAACAAACCTGAAACTCAGTATGGTCTTGATATAAATAATAATATCTAATTGAACTTGCCCAGTAGCCATTAGACTATAAACTGGAACACTGATGCTGCAAGAATCTCACCAGTGCATTACAAATATTTCTAAAAAAAAGTAGCACTGAAAAGGGAGAAACCGAGGAAGCTAAAGACACAAAGTAATTAAATGTAAAGTTAACGTTTTTCCTATCTTAATCAAATATATTTTTTCGAATTGAATATCAAGATGTATGGAGCCCACCATAAAGGAAAGGAACACACGTTCAGAGGCAAAAAAAAAAGTAGTTGAACAGGTTAAGATTTTTAAAAATCAATATCTATTTCTAATCCTCTGATTCAAAAATTAAAATAAAACAAAAAGGATGATTAGAAAAAATATGGAAATTGAAAAATACTGTAGGAAAATCAGCATACATTTTGGTGACTTCAAGCTACAGAAGATAAACACTTCTTCCTCCTTATTTACACACATAAAAATGTTTAAGAACTACATTAAAAGGTTTCCTGCCAAATAAAGATGGCTTAGAAAGTTAAATTACTGGGCAATCTAAATGTTGCTGCACAGAATATAAACATTCCTTTTATTAGAACACAGAATATAGCACTTTCTCCAGTAATTTTTGGATGTTTGAGGATGTGCAGCATTCTGCTGTATTATCTGCTTTATTGCAGCTCACAATACACAGCTGCAATGACAATGGTTCAAATAATCTGCACAATAAAAACCTAATCATTTCAAAGAGGCATGTAATTTTGTGTTACACAGCGGAAATAGTTTTTGCTGATTTACTTAGATGTTTGTAATGCAGTTACCCCTCATGTAATCCAATTGCAAAGTTATTTACCCTAAGTCACAATTACTGATGTAATATTCATTTTTCAGCATAAATGAATAATTATGGGAATGCAAAATGACATACCTTGTGGCAAAGCGGCTGTCGTAATCCTCAATAGCAGGCTGGAAAATGAAAGAATTTTTGTTTTATTGAAAGACAGTTATATTAATTCACAAACACTAGGTGGCAGTAGGAACTGTGCAGAAGTCTAACTTTCAGGTACTGCAGAATTACTCATGACCAATTATGCAATAGAGCCCTTAATCAGATGGAGGCTTCAAATTAAGTACACAAGTAAAGCAACCGATTCTGCACATTTCATGGATGCTTGGATTGTAATACCTGTGGAGCAAACCCTGCCATGCTGTAAGGGCGTGGGCGGGTCTGTGCTAAGCTCTGGGCCAGCAGTCGAGCAGTTAGGCCGTAATCAGGTGTGGGCACTGATGCATCGCTCTCCAGCAGGTTCCCTGTGCTGCTGCTTTTACCATGATGAAGACTGGAACTGGAAAAAAACAAAAAAAGAAACAGCCTTAAGACTTTGACTCATTTGAGTTTTAAAAACCTTTCACGAAAGAAGTAGGACATACTTCACTCTCAGCTTGTCCCCATCACTCTCAGGGAGCACACGAGTGTAAGAGAATGGAAACCAGCCACGCCTAAAAACATGAACAATTTTCAAATGTAATAAACAGATTAAAAGAGGAAATGAAAAACATTTACATTGTATATGTGCATAATTTTATTTATACCAGTAAATGATAATGAAAACTAAATGCATGTGTGTTTCAGTTGATTTTACAATATGAATTAAGAGAAAACAGAATAGACGTACATTTTGTTTTTCTCATTTTCTCCATAGTGCCAGCCATCACGGGCCTCAGGCACTAGCAAAGTGATAACGTCTCCCTCAGAGAAGCTTAGCAGGGTACCGTTGTCACCTGCAGCATGGGAGAAGATGGCCTGGACGCGGGAGCGCCCGTTCTTTTCCAGTCCAGCCGCCATGGAGCTGGACCTGGGCAAAGTCCGTGTCTCCCCTGAGGAGCAGAATTTTAAATAAATATTTGTGAATTAAAATGTGTACAAGAGTGTAGATTTAAGGTATCAATTATGTAGATAGTTTGAAATGTCTCGTACATTCCTTTTATTTGTGGTTACAAAAGAATAGTTAATAACTTTATGCAAGTCAACAAGTATAAAAAGAACTTTAAAAACTTTGGAATTTAATTATAACAGGGCAAATGATGCTTATTAATATTAATCTGTAGCAATAATAGCTCACTTTATAACTAATGTACAAATAATGTTATCAACAATTTTAGGATATTTTTAATATATGAACCATACTTTACTTTATCGAATTTTTTTTCCATTCGATAAAGTAAATTCAAAGCTGCAGTCTCCAAAAGACACTTATTTGAAAACAAATGCATGTATACTCAATTCTTTATTTTTCTTTATAATCTTAAGTTTTCTCTCCAACCATGTTTTGCTACAAAGTTGGTCACATGTATTGCTTCTCAGTTGCCTAGCAAATGAAAATAAAAGTCTTTGGAAAAGGCATCTTTGAAGCTATATTTCACAAGCAAAATCCCCTTAAGTGACAAGAAGTTGGCTCCTGTTCGGGGTGTACTTGCTTTGTAACAATAGCAAAACCTTCTCAATTTCTGTGTCAGGAAGGTGCAAAGACAACCTGCAGTCTTGAGTAATTCTATAATCATATCATGGATTTGGTCTTCTCAAAATATTTGATCCACTTTTTATATACTCTAACCCTTTTCCAAAGTGTAACAGCAAACTATGTTAACTCTCACAGCCTCTATGTTTTCCATACATGTGACCTACAAGGTTTTTAACACACTAACGATACACTGCACCACTTATCTGTCCTAATGAGGGCAACATTGGGTACAATTCTTCAGTGTTTTTTCTCTAAAGCTACAGCCGTCTTGAAACAAGAGCAGCCTCAGCATTGTGCTGTTCATTCATCTGTGATTGCATAACAGCAGCATAAGGAAAACCTTATTGGTTTTCATGCATCACACCAGTCAATTGAAGTATATGCCTTGAAAAACCATTAAAACTGAAAAGGTGGACATGTTGGGGCAGATCAGACAGATTGCCATCCTACTTTAAAAAACTGTATAAGGGGAAAAACATATCAGTTAAATATTTCTGTGACCTCTTGCTTAGTTTTCATAGAGCAATGACAGTATAATAAAGTCCAAGCTGTGCTGTTTTAGCTTACCAACGGGATTTTTATTCTTGGCTGGAGCAGGCCTACGGACAGGGAGAGTATTGGAGTAGACGTCGCTGACCTGTCTCTGGGGCGGGACCTGGGACGGACCCTGTGTCTGAGCCTGAGGGGATGACGGCCTAACTTGAGAGACTGACATTGTACCCCCATCTGTCCAGTATTCCTCTCCATGGACTCCTGTCGTCCCATTGACCATGGACATGCCATCAGGACCCATCAGCCTCTGGAATAAAAAAGTAGGGAAAAAGACTTAATTCAATTGTCAGCACTTGGATTTAACATGGTTACATCAAATATAAATATATTTATTTTGGTCAGGCAGAAAAAAAAAAAAAAGTCATTAATTTTCTCACCGCGGGGTGTCCAAGACCACTGCCCATAAAAACAGCCAGCTCTGGGGGAACAGGAAGAGGCTGAGCCCCTGGTATGGGGTCTGAGATGACCAGATTGGATTTGGAGGAGTGCAGGGGACTGGTGCTCCCAAGAGCAGCAGAACACATCTGTTGGGCCAGCATCATGGCTCTGTCCGGGAGTTTATTGGGGTCTGAGCAGGCCTGCTGCCACACTGGGATCTTCTGGGTCAAAAGGTCTTTACCCTGAGAGAATGAAGTAAAACAACATGGAAACAAAAACAAAAAGGCTGGATTAGAAGAAGAGATGCTAATATCTGTTTAGCCCTGCCATAAATATTTAAAAAAGGCTTTTCTAACTCTTTACTCTCATTGTTTTAAATTAAATAAATAAAAATCTGTCTTTATAAACATTTACTCTGTGTGTATCCTTGACCACTGCCCTCTGTAGAGCTTTGATAATGTGCTGCGTGGGTAAAGCAGACCATCACTCAGCCCTGCTGCCCACTGCAGTCTTTCCAGCCTGTGGACACAGCTGTTCTTTTTACAAGTCTGGTAATAGTGTTTAATGTTTAACGGAAAGGAGTACATGTAAATAAAACAAACAAACACAAAATAGACTATGCGCTCTCATACAATCAGATTAAAATCTCGTTTCCTCTCTAACACATATCTTTTGCACATAAGGAACCCTCTGGGAGCACGTTCATGAGTTTGGTGAAGGTGGACATTTCCCCCACACACCCCCATGCTGATTAATGACTAGACTTCATGTTGGGAAAAGGAAAAAAAAAAAAAAAATGGCAGCGTGGTTGACACACGCATCGTCCTCCCCGCAGCCACATCTTCAGGCTGGCAGTTCTCACCCACCCATAATCCCAGGTGACTGATGCACTCCATTACCCATGGATTTGAAATTGTTGTGAAAAAGACATGCATTTGAAGCGCACACACCCACACAACAACGAGAATATATATGTAAATGAATTACATACTTCTTCAATAACATTTGCTTTTGCTGGACCATAAGAAGTGGAAATAAATTTGTTTAGTTTAAAATTTCAGGAAGGATAACTAAGGGTAGCAGGTTCTGCTTAGTTTAAAAGAAACTTACTTTCAGTCTGGGTGGTGCTCCAATCAGAAAAAATCTTTGGTGCATTTTTTTTTTAGAGATTTTACATGGTAGATAAAGAGTATTTCATAACTGACCAGCTGAAGTGTACATTGATTTTGAAGTTTTTTTTTCAAAACTATTCTATAGCAGTTTGGCTGGGTTTAAGGTTGTCATGGTTTATAGTGGGAAGGAGATCCTCTGCATTTAGCTTCATCCATCCTGTCGAGCTTCTCTGTTGCCCATGTAAACACGCCTATGTAATTTGAGAGGTAGGATTTGTCACTGAATGAGTCATGTGACCCAGAACGCTGCTGTACCATCCACTGAGCTTCAGGTAAAAACTATTCTGTCACTTATCTAATCAGAATATTTTTGTTTTTCAACTGTATGGTTGAATTTGGGCTTATCTTTAAAACATTCAGTTGACAGACCCTGTTTTAATGATGATAATGAGACAGTGATGAAATAAACATGATTCTAAAATTAATGAAGAAATGTCGAGATGTGGGAGGTTTTCGTTCTCTAGACTAGACGAAAATGTTGATAATGACTTGCCGCACAGACAAAATCAAAGGCATCTCTTCCCATTTTGCATCTAATCTATCAATTAAAAACTGAAGGATCAACAATTCAAAAATGCATGTTAAAAACAGGCTTGATGGTTGGACACCACCGAAAATCCTATGGATATACTTCAAATATGCAAAAGAAAATGTAATGTAATGTATAGACAAGTAGTGGTTAATATGTACATAAATGAGTTGGGGGGAAAAACCACGGCAGCACCTCTGCCAGATGTTCCTACCGAGGTAAGATCCTAATAACTTTAGGATAAACTTCGGTTAGTTGCTTTAGCATTAGTTTTGTTATTTCTGTGTGTTACTGTCAAAACTCTGTAGTTTATAGCTGGATAACAAGTGTGATATTGAGCAAAGTTTAACTCCTTGTCTAGGTGCTGTCGACACGTTACAATGTGTAACCAGGTTGAGATAAATGTGCTTTGTCATCTGGTAACTTTGGGCTAAAAGCCATAAGAATATGGTTACCAGGTGTCCTGATTTTCCGGGACAGTCCCCACGATCTGTGCCTTAATGAGGCAGTCTCTGATTTTAGCATTTTATGATTGAGAAAAATCATGCTGTGTGTAGACTGTTATTTGAGTGCTACAGCACTAGCTGTCATGGTAACAGCAGCAGAGGTGCAGCACATTTTCTCATCCCCAATGCTTTCCTGTGATACAGAGTCTGGATCTTTTCATATGTGTTATACAAGGTTGATCCGAGGAATGATCGAGCCAGAAATGGTTCAATTTATATATTTCATAGCTAGTTATGATGGTTTTGATCATTTGTAATTGTGAACAGAGTTTCAGGCTTCAGAGAATTTGTCCACTAAGATTGAACATAACTGAGTTCCTTATAAAAATTAAATGACTTAGTTAGAGGCCAACTGAATGAGACAAATACAGCATGAAGGGAGAATGATGAGGAAGGACAGTTAATCACTGGATTCAATTTTAATTTCTTCTGCTGCACCAGCTAGTAGCTCTCAGTAAAATAAAATGTTTTTTGCTAAATATAGCTATTTTTGGCCTTTCTCAGGCTGAGGAAACAAATTAGATAAAAAAGAAAACTAAATATTTAGTCAAATTGATGTGTTAAAACACAAGATGGTAAATAAATACATTCACATGTGTATAAATATTTTTTTAAATATGACATATCTACATTTGATTGTTCAGTATTCACTTGCTGATATTTGTATAAGGTGTTCATTATATATACACAATTAAAAAGCTAAATCAGACTAAAACTAGACTTAACCTTTGAGTTTTCCAAGGCTAACACTTGATTAAAATGTTCATATGTGAAATGACTTAATTTTGACTAAAACTATAAAGCTTTGTCATTTTGTCCAAAAACAGCCCTGCCGCTATCAGATTGAAAAACACAAAGAGAGACTGTATAATTCTGTGACAGGCGTTCCTGTTGCTTTCAGGGCCTCTAATCCTGGAAGTTACAGGTCTAGTGCCCCTAGTGGATAAAAGTTACAGTCACTTTAACAACTCCAAGGATACATTGCCTTTGCTGCTACTATGATTAATGCTTTTCTTGCCCTTGCAAGAGAAGCAGTCTAGTGTATGTGAGAGAGTTGAATCTTTGTACGTTTGCAGTTGTGCTTTGCTCTTTCAGTTTTTTTATGCTGGATGGAAAGCTCAGAAGATGTCAAAAGATAAACACTCATATTTCAACAGAAAAGGTGGAAAAAAAAGTAGTAACAATAATTAGAAAATTAAAGTAGTAATTTAAAACTCTGGTGAACTCTGGACATGCCTTTGCCTTTAATCTAAACTAAAATATAATTCCTTTTCATTTGTCCTTTTCGTTAACAATTTAAGATGCATCCTCTGAATGGAAAGGAAACTGAAATCAAGACTGAAAAGGCATTTGAACGTACCTTTCCATGGTAGGCGCTGTTGTTTTTGGCCACAGCACATTGTCTGTCCACAAGAAAGCAGTATCTGCGACGTTCCTCAGACAAAGCCGTCTTGTAGCCCTCAGCAATGAAGCTATCTAGCTCAGTCTGCTTATTGCTAATGGTCTCCACAAACTGAAAGGGAACACAAAATAACGGTTAAAATATGAGAGTTATGAATTTTTATCCTGGTCTTGCTTTTATCCTTTAAGCTGTATAACAATTTGTACAACAAAAAAGTTTGAAATATGCTGACCCATTATAACATATTTTCTACACATCTTTTCCACCAAAGCTCATTAACTTAAGATAATTCCATTAAAAAACAAGTATGGTAAAACACATGGTTATCAAGGTTATTTGTAAAACAGGATTGAATACCGAAAGGTTATTACTATTCAAAGAAGTATAAGCCACAAAATATCTTTACTAAAAAAGGTGGTAGTTGAGTGGAAGGAAAACCTATTGAAAACATACATATACAAAAAGGAATACCAAAGTTTTTAGTAGCAAAGTCCAATCAGGACCCCATGGTCCAGCAAAAGTCTGTTGAAGAGCCACCACTAACAGATGTATTTAGGACATCGGTTACCACCAAGTGTCTTAACCTAAAACATCGTGAAAAATGTCTGCCCTACACTAAAGCCCACCCCCAAAAAAAAAAGAGTAATACACAGTGAATCATACTCCTCACTTAATAGAAGTGATGTATTTTATTTGAAAATTCAACACCCAGAGTTTGGAGGAAGCATAAAGGGGCAGAGAATGAGAGCTGATTGTTGTGCATTGCAGTCAGATTATTTCAGAGCATCTGTAGATGTTTGACCACCATGTTTTATTCATTACAAAGTCAGCCGAACAATAAACCAGGAAATTTAAGAGCACCTAATGCTTCTTTTTGACTTTATGAAGACACTGATTTTCATTTTCCTTGAGGATTTTGTATCCTTCCACAATGCATGAAGTGCAAATACCTGCATAATAACTATGGTGAATCCGTTCTGATTCAACAGGAAATTGGTAGATCATCTACAGATAACAATATATGCCATGTGTGAGATTGGAAACGCAGCTCCCAATAATTCAAATGTTTTATACAACTTTTAAAGAAAAATTTGCTTCCCCTTCAATGTGTGCAAAACTAATGAACAGGTATCGCACAAATTTATTCTACAGTACAAGAATATAGCTTTCAGTCAGAAAACATTAAAAATCTTTTTCAATATTTGTTTCTGATAAGATTTAATAAATTAAATTTCAATCAGTCTTAAGCTTTAGCATCATCATTAACAGAATAAAAAAATACCTTCAATTGATCACTGTGTGTAATTAATCAACACCTTTGACATTTAGGACTGCATTGCAAAGTGTTTAATGTGTGCACAGCAACACATTCCTGAACAGAATGTCCATAATTCAAACACAAAGAACAGGAATAAATTACCGATACTGGAGATGGACACAGTTTCCATACATTCATGCTTCATACAGAAGCTCAGCCTAATGTAGCGCTCTAAAATCAATTAGCCAATTAGGAACTAAAACAATGGAAAAAAATGTTTACTGTATCTAATTCACTGTAACACAAGTTGCACCATATCAATTAAATTTGTAAAAAGAAACCTGCACATATAAGGTTCATGTCAGTGTTTTGTATATTATCAGTTCAGTTTTAGACTGCATTTAAAAGTAGGTCAAATGAGAACTGTTTGATGAATTTATAACCATCTGCTAATATGAGTGACCTAGAAGGGTAGATTTTTTTATTTACTTGCCATGATTTGATCTAAGCTGAAACATGCTTTAGTGTGTTGCCATGTTAGAATCAAGTCATATGTTTGAATACATTTCCAAACGTTTCCATCTTAGATATTGCATATAAGAACTAGGAAGGTTAATGTTTAACATTTTATTAAACAAGTAGATTAATCAGATTTTTTTAATCTCTGTTTTTATATTGACTTTTGTAGCAAATTCTTTAATGGCAAATGTGGAATTTGTGTTTCATTTCATAATCATCAGGCCACACTCCTAAAGGTATAGTGGAGGATGTTCTTCTTCTAGGTGGATCATCAAAATAAGTGGTCCTCCCAATTGTCAATCATTCTGGTGACGGTAAGGCCATTTTATGTGCTTGTCCCCATTTTCACTTACCAGTGGTGAGTCTGACATAGTAGAAAAATTGCAAATGTTATTTTAGAAAGTAAGCTTGTATGAGCGAGGCAAATTGCAACTTTTTTTTTTTTTTTAAGTGGAGAGGGCGGATCTTTTCAAAAATTTGCGAAACTCCTGCAATATACCTTTAACCATTTTAAGTAAGTCAAAGTTAGGTCTTTGATTATTTATGTAGTCATTCATTTTGAGAGAAAGATGCTCCTTTAAAAACATGTGGGAATTAAATCAAAACCCACAGATATTATCTATATAATTGTGTAGCAAAGCCCATACATGTTATGAGTAAGCACGATACCCTCCTTTTGTCATTTCAGTATTTTATTTGAACAGCTCTGGGTCAAACAAAGAAGTCTGTTACTTTTCATCGTGGTGCAGCGCTTTTGTATTATCTTATAACATAATGCTGAGTGTGAATCATTGCTTTGCTAGATTTAATAAAAAAGATCTTACACTGAAAATGCTTTAAATAAAGGCTATTGTTCTTTAATTAATACTTTGTTAAAATATGAGGATCCTTCAGAAGAGTTAGTGTATAAAACTGCCAAAATAATTTTTGCGTTTAAAGATGACATTTATTACTTCTAATAATCTCCATGAAAAAGAGATGGGGATAGCAATTTTGTTTAGGAATGAGTCATAGTCTTTGCTGCAGCTGAAAAGAGAATAAAACCAGAGGAGGGAGAAGGCAGAAACAAGCACATCTCAGTACAGAAATTTCAAGAAAATGCACACGTGGACAGACTGTATTATCTTCAAGCATTTGTGAAATGGTCCTTGACTACATCACAGAAACTGTCCAGTGAAAGGACCCAAGAAAGATCACAGTCAAAGCAACTTCCCCTTTGTCTCTCTGGTGGAGTGACCCTTTTCGTATTTGCAGTCTGTGACTCACAGACTGCTAGCCTCTGCAACACCTCTAACCAGAGCTAATAGGAGCGGCTGAGGCAGTGTGCGCTCGCCTTTTGTCAAATCAACATGGCCCCATTCTCAGCCATTCAAAAGGTCATGAAAGTAACCCAAGACAATGAGTGCAGTGAGAAAAGCTCACACAGACACAAGGCACCATTATTTTCCAGTGACCTCAAGTTACATCACAGCTAGACTGACTTGTTCTACAAAGGTTATGGATAGAAATGAAAACTGTCAGGGCAGTTTTAACACCCCAGCTTTAAGTATTCAGCATTACAGGATCTTCTCTGTACATCTTTATACACCGACATATACAGGATTAAATTATAGCTGAAAAAAAAGACTATATTGCAAATTGAATAATCTGTAGATTTTTTTTTTAGATTAATCAATTAATAATTGGATAGCCAACGATTCTTTGAAGAAGACTTTTAACGAAATGAAACCAGGTAAAACTAAAGCTTTTCCACCTGAGGAGAATGGAGCATTTTTAATCTTTTCTAAATCTTAAATGCAAAATGTTTCTTTTTTTTTTTTTTTTTGGCAAAATTACTGCTTTAAGTGGGTCGCTCTGTCGGCTAAATTCATGCTTTATAGTCCCTATACTACAGTTAATAATTCATCGATTACTAAATTGGTTGAAGAATATTTCAATAATCGATTCATCACAATTAATCTGATTTCCTAACGCTCCAGCACTCCAATACTCTGCACAACCATCACATTTTCTGGTAATTACAACCACGGGGACAGAGGCTCTCATAGCAATTGCTTGGTAAATAATCCACCTGGATTCATGGCAACAAAAGTGTTCATATTATGCAGTACTTCTGAGGTGATTGCACAGCAGCTTGCACCATTTCGAGCTGTCGCAGCACTACTGTTGGAGTAAATAGAAACAGACTTTGGAAACCTCTGAAGCAAAACACCCAAGGTACATTTTGGTTTTTATCATTGATTTTCCTTTGCAGGCACCCCAAAACACTTTTCTTTGGGTGTGCATACCTGTAAAATCTACAGATTAGAATCCATTTAATGTTATAGAAAAAGTCTGAGTGGATCAAACATCATTTCTATGATATTAAGTTCTCCGTCTTGGTTTGGAGAGCTGTTCCTCTCTGCGCTCTTATTAAAATCTTGTGCAGTACAAAGGAGCTCATCTTGATACAATCCCTTTATATGGTACTCTTCATTGAACTTCATGATGAAATAATTAGCATTTTATCAGATTTTACCTACTGATGGGGCTTTGGAATCGTCTTTAGGAAAGAAAGGTCAGAGCGAATAGGAAAAAAATGAGAAGTCTATAGTTTTATCCTGGTCTGACTCCTTTTGCTGCTAGAATGCACTAAGATACCAGCTTGTAAAGAAGTAGTGCCTCTCATCTTTCAAAGCATCACAAATGTGGTGGAGGAGGATGAGACACTGCCCTTATCTTTGCAACATTTACTTGTCCTTTTCTTCCCTGCCTCCCGCTGTACCTCTAGCAGCACAAATTAAACCATGCAATCTGTCACAAATCGGAACTATTTTTCCAGGTGGACACTTGTAATTGTGAAGCACAGGTCTTGTGGGAGTGCAGGGCTCTCGTTCTATAATTTGCCAGCTACGCTTCTTGTGGGCTCAGGCACAAACGAGTTGACTTTTCTCTCACACGCCTACAGCCGTGATATTATCAGTGAAAGTGAGCAGACTGAAAATGAGAAAGGGAGATTGATTTTTCTGTTTTCCTGCAAAGTCATTGCAAATTACTGTATGAGTCCAGAGAATGAAGAGCCCTTCCCTCTGCACAGATGGGCCTAATTGATAAGTCATACAGACTTGGTAGGAGAGTGGGATTACATCTAAAACTAATAATTAAGTTTAACATTCAAAGAGGTAAACGTTATTTGTTTTTTACTTTCCTTCCTTCCTTTTTTTCATGTACCGGTAGTTCAGAGAAAACAATTATCTTAGGTGATTAAGTGTTTCAGTTCTACCAGATTCTTCTAACCACAGGAAAAATCCTATAACTTACTGGTATAAGATAAAAAGAAGAGCATTTCTTTTTTCTCTGATTTAGTATTTGCACTTTCTCAGACACAGATTTTGGAATTTTCATGATTAGGCTTAATCATCAAAATTATACAAAATCCACAAGAGCGCTTCTTGATCTGAAGTAAGAAACAATATGCATAAAACTTTTAAATAATCAGATTTTTTGAGATGTACCCAGTATAACTGTGCAGCTTATGGAAGGACCAAATTAGTCACCACTTGCTTTGAAACACATGTTAAAGTAAAAAAAAAAAAAAAAAAAAAAACCTTTACATCAATACCTTTTGGTGTCAAGAAAAAGGTTTGCAGTAGAATAAGGCAATAATTATTAGAAAGACAGGCTGATAGATATATTTAGTTCCCATACATTAAAAAAGGTAAATTTAAGATAAATCAATATTCTAACTATAATATTCTAACTGTTTTTTGTATGAAAAAAGCACAGCCTTCACATGCTTTTACAATGTTTGTACTAAATGCGTATTTAGCTGCAAACCTAAAATTGAGGAGGATTTCACACCACGATGTGTTTATTATTATTATATATGTATATTTATATCCTTTTTTTTTTTTTTTTTTTTTTTAAACATAATTTTGATATTTTTATGCAATCAATATGTTCAATAATACTAATATAAAAGCATTTGAAATGCTGTTGTAGTTCTATGTGGTGCAAATACAGATCATGGATTTTGACATTTCACTTAAAAGAGCTTCATTTGTCCAGGAAAGTTTGATCTGTTTTGTTTCAATCTTTGAAAGTAAATGAGACATATTACTGGTTGTATCTTTAGTTATTATTGCATCATCATTAATAGAAGCACTTGATTCCAATCAGTAGTTTTTCCACCAGTCCTTATCTGAATGTCTGCATTTATTCTGAAAATTGTAAATCATCAACAAAAACTATATTCACGTTATTTTATTGATAACCACAAGACATATCATTAAAAGGATTTGGTCTTTAGATGAAGTTTTAATACATATTCCCACTAAATCATTAACATGGGTACCATGAAAATATCTTATATTAAAAGTAGAGTATACACTCTTACAATTACTGTGTTTAATGTAATGCAGAGCCGTTTATTAAGAGGAATTAAATGACTTAAATAAGACAATCTATAATGAAGAACTATACAACAACAAACTTTAAAAAAAACTTTTTCACTATTAGGAGAAAGGAAAAAACTTAAATGAAAAGGAGCATGATTCTTTTCTAATTGATTTGCTCATGTAGAGCCCACAGTAATGCTAGCAATTCAAGCAGTGCTTCACACTTGGCTGCACTGCTGAGTGCTTTGTCAGACTTGATGCCTTATGATGACACTTAATACATCACCTCTTCAAGGCATTTGTGACACAATGAAACAAACGTGATGTGACAACCGAGTCACATCAATCCAGCTCTTCCACACCATAATAGACAAGATGGCGTTGGATGTGAGTGTGCAATTGTAAGTGACAGCATAAAAGTGGCACAGCAAAACAAAACAAAAAAACTTTTTTGAGTTTGTAAAAGTTTGTATCCTGGAGATTTAGTCTACCTGACAACTGATCTCACCTAACTAAGACCAACAGCAGCTCAGTTATAACTACCAGCCCTGGTCTGTGTGCACATCTTTGCTCCCATCCTTTATCTTAATTCCTGCTACCAACGAATTGTTTTGACCTTTTTTTTTTATTGTGTCTCTTGATTTCCCTCTTGGTAGAGGACTGAACAAGGAAGCATTAAAAAAGGAACAATGAGCTTGATACAGAAGAATGTTGTCAGGTTTGTTTGTGCCCAGGAACTGAACTGAACTGAACTGCTACCCTGTCATGTAAGGGATGGAAAAATAAATGTGACATTACTAATCAAGCAATGTCATACAGCAAATGTTCACTTCGAATCAATCAACATTCATTTAACCTGAAACAATCAACAAAGGTTCCGTTATTATAAGAAACTAATCCCTCAAGCAGCCTCTTTCTTTAATACAACTGGATTAAAGCTTAAATCTGTATTGCAGGAAGCTAAGAGTGCAATAGTTCTACCTAACCTTTGATGCATAAACCCATTTCTTGTTATTGCGTGTGTATTATATTTTGTTAAAACTCCGATAAAGTAATCTGTCAAATCCCATTGGCTCAATTGTGCATCCACCTTCAGTATATCAATAACTGTAGTTTGTGTTTTCCTCCTGCCTTTCAGTATTCCTACTTGAATGTATGCACATATAATGAAGGTTTCCAAGGGCACATAATTCATAATCAAATCTTCAGCATTTCCCTTCCCACTCAGGACATCATGTCACCTCTGCCTCCACCCCCATCTTGGCAGTGTTCTCTTTACTTAATAAAGGATTTTAAAGTCCTTCTTTTCACTGTGGTTCATAATCCCTAAATCTTATATTCAGCCACATCTAGTTGGAGTATGCAGAAACTATTAAATCAGTAAAGCAGAGAAAAAAACTAAGTACATATGTCTCCTAAATCTACAACCATCTTAGCAGTTTCTTCTTCTCAACATTACTGCAAATATTTCTAAATATAAACTTTTATCTTGTTATATAAGGTATATGCAGAGAATATATATATATGAAGAAGATTTCTTATCAAGTTGTGACGCAGTAAGAACTCTGCAGGGGCTCACCTGCATCTCCTTCTCTCCGTACTTTGAAGGGTTCTTACTGCCCTGGCTCTTTCTTCTGAGCTTCTTCAGTTCACCCTGGCATTTTTCCAGACTCTCCCCTTTGCTCTTATGTTCCATCTGGTATTTTTTCAAGGCAGCCTAAAAGGAGAAAGAAGCAGTTCAGAGAGAAGAAAATCCTACTTTTTGCATAATCAAATGTTTTTAAAGGTTTTAATCAAAGAGACAGAAGACAGAACATGTTTTACTGAAATATATGCAAATAAAAAAAAAGAAAAAAGAAAAACGATCTCTAGATTTAATTTATCAAAGTAAAATATAAGAACATCTTTCGTCAATTTCCTTTGTTAGAATTAATTCTATCGCCACATTCAAATCAGGTATAGCTGATCACAGTCACACATCCACATTAACACAGATATTCCCTGTTGCATTTGCTCCTCTTTAGAGTGAGGAAATAAAAAAAAATAAAAAAAAATCCAATGAACATTTAAAAGAATCTCTGTGGTGTATTGCTATGGACCAGATATCAGTTTATGTTCAACAACAATATTATAGACTTAATTTAGTCAGATTAGATAAGAGCAACCATGCTGATGAAGATTCTCAGTCATCCAGTTCATAGTCATTCCGTAAATAAAAAAAAAAAATTTTTTTTTTAAACTTTTATGGAAAGAGCAATCATGATGATAAATTGTGGAAAATCTTGAAGAAAATCGGTTAAGGGATGCATAAGAAAACAATGTTTGAATGTATATCCAAACCCAACCCAGAATCTGTGGCAATGTTTAAAAACTGAGGGTAAAATATTGTCTTTAATTATGACAAAAATAGCCGATTTCGCAAAGAAAAATAGGTAGAAATGTCAGGCTTTTGATGCATAAACTGGTACCGGTAGATATGCATGTGCATTGAAAGGTGGTTTTACACAGAACGAACCCTGTGGTGCTGACAACATATGCACAGATATTACCCCCCATGTTGGGGGGGAAATGGACAACATAAGCACCCAGTGTCATGAAAACCCCCAATGCACTCTCTCCTGGTGATAGTCATGTTCTCTGATGTGTCTATAGAGGCATCTGTTTCTGCTGACCTTCACTCTCTGTTTTGACTGACTATTAGTCACTCTGTTAACCGTTCCACTCGTGACACCACTCAAGCCCCCTGGTGCCTGCTAGACGTGCCAGCTCTTAAAAAGACTAACTATTTGCTTACCCATCAATGATATTCATGTGCCCCTAACTCAAAATGAATTATCTCTTTTTCTATTCAGTTTTTAATTATAGCAAATAACATTTCATTTTCCTCCTGTTCAATTTTCATCCCATAATACTGTCGCATTTCAGCCCAAGGTTATTATCTTTCTTTGTCAGCATCCAACATCCAATCTCATACAGGTATACGTTTGTTTGCTTCCAACAGGAATCACAAGATTCTGTTTCAACAAGTCCAGAGAAGTAATGAGAAGACTCTGGAGGTTTGACATCTATACCCTAATGAATCAGAGGATTATTAAACAGATACTTGTAAAGTTAAGGCTGAGAAATGTATGTCAATTACAGGTCATGGGGGATATGAGCTAGCATCATTCTCTCTGTTTTATCTCTGTGTTAGAAAAGGCACAGAAAATTCTTTCAATAAAGGAAGTGCTGGAATTATCTGGGTCTTAAACTTTATGTTCTCTATTGATTTATTTACTGGTTTAGCTTTGAATTGAAGAACTTCTTTGATCACGTATCTGTGAGTATCTGCTGCAAAAGCCCATCCCTTGTTAGGGCTGATTTTCATCAAATAACATAAACAATCAGATATCGGTGACAGCCTGTGAGGACAACAACACAAGCAAGGTTTTGCAAAAAAAAAAAAAAAAAAGTGTTAATAACTCAATCTGTTTGATGTTTTGATTGTTTAGCTAGATTATTTCTGTAATAATAATAATAAAAATAATAATAATAATAATAATAATAAACAGTGTTGTTTCCTTGGCTTTATGAGCTCTGTTGCTATAGTAACAGTGTGTGGTTTGAGAAAGCTCATGTGGTCCCTACATTTGACAAGATTAGAAGGAAAAAGAGGCATATGCACAGGGGTTCCAACACCCACATTTGCATCCTGGATGAAATGGGCACATAAACAGGTATTTTCAAGGTACTCTGAAAAGGAGCAGAAATTGGAAACGGTTGCTTCAGACTAGCAGCAGGACATGCAGTGTTTGCATTTCATTGAAGAGATATTTTCAAAAATCACCGATCTATTCAATATGTTTGAAAATGGACCAAATTAGGTCTTTGGACCTTTATCAGCTTTCAAATGCATTAATGATAAAAAGGGATGAGTCATCTCCTCATTTTCTCCTGTTGTTCAAGGTAAAGTGATACAGCCAACACAGACTGCCTCGCTGGTGGCAGAATTAATCTCACAGAAACTGGGGCTGGTGTTGGGAAATAACTCCTAGATTAACAAAAAATAGTCAGATAACCCCTCCCATTTTCCTTGTACTGAAAAAGCAAACCCCGGTTAACCAACATGGAAAGAACAGATAACCACTGTTGATAAATCTGTTTAGAAACAGAAGGGTCATTTAGGTTTCTGACCACATTCCAATCTTTATGAAAGGATTGACATGTGATCTAAAATGTTATGAGATCTATCATGTGAAGCAAAATCAATGCATTTTACAAGTATGTAACGGACCAATACATTGTTATCTATCTATCTATCTATCTATCTATCTATCTATCTATCTATCTATCTATCTACACTATATTGCCAAAAGTATTTGCTCACCCATCCAAATTATTGGAATCAGGTGTTCCAATCACTTCCATGGCCACAGGTGTATAAATTCAAGCACCTAGGCATGCAGACTGTTTTTACAAACATTTGTGAAAGAATGGGTCGCTCTCAGGAGCTCAGTGAATTCCAGCGTGGAACTGTGATAGGATGCCACCTGTGCAACAAATCCAGTCGTGAAATTTCCTCGCTCCTAAATATTCCACAGTCAACTGTCAGCTGTATTATAAGAAAATGGAAGTGTTTGGGAACGACAGCAACTCAGCCACGAAGTGGTAGGCCACGTAAACTGACGGAGCGGGGTCAGCGGATGCTGACGCGCATAGTGCAAAGAGGTCGCCAACTTTCTGCAGAGTCAATCACTACAGACCTCCAAACTTCATGTAGCTCAAGAACAGTGCGCAGAGAGCTTCATGGAATGGGTTTCCATGGGCGAGCAGCTGCATCCAAGCCATACATCACCAAGTGCAATGCAAAGCGTCGGATGCGGTGGTGTAAAGCACGCCGCCACTGGACTCTAGAGCAGTGGAGACGCGTTCTCTGGAGTGACGAATCGCGCTTCTCCATCTGGCAATCTGATGGACGGGTCTGGGTTTGGCGGTTGCCAGGAGAACGGTACTTGTCTGACTGCATTGTGCCAAGTGTAAAGTTTGGTGGAGGGGGGATTATGGTGTGGGGTTGTTTTTCAGGAGCTGGGCTTGGCCCCTTAGTTCCAGTGAAAGGAACTCTGAATGCTTCAGCATACCAAGACATTTTGGACAATTCCATGCTCCCAACTTTGTGGGAACAGTTTGGAGCTGGCCCCTTCCTCTTCCAACATGACTGTGCACCAGTGCACAAAGCAAGGTCCATAAAGACATGGATGACAGAGTCTGGTGTGGATGAACTTGACTGGCCTGCACAGAGTCCTGACCTCAACCCGATAGAACACCTTTGGGATGAATTAGAGCGGAGACTGAGAGCCAGGCCTTCTCGTCCAACATCAGTGTGCGACCTCACAAATGCGCTTCTGGAAGAATGGTCAAAAATTCCCATAAACACACTCCTAAACCTTGTGGACAGCCTTCCCAGAAGAGTTGAAGCTGTTCTAGCTGCAAAGGGTGGACCGACGTCATATTGAACCCTATGGATTAGGAACGGGATGTCACTTAAGCTCATATGTGAGTCAAGGCAGGTGAGCAAATACTTTTGGCAATATAGTGTATCTATCTATCTATCTATCTATCTATCTATCTATCTATCTATCTATCTATCTATCTATCTATCTATCGTGTCATTTTCTTAAATGCAGCTATACAGTAGCAGACATTCATCATTTTCCTACTTTCCTTTATGTCTCCTTGGCTGGTCCCTTACAATTCCTTTTTAAACATCAATCTTTGTACTAAAACACTCTGTGATTTGTGGACATTAAGATCTAAAAAGGTCAGACCCTGACATTCAGTGAAAGGGTGGAGTCAGAGAAAAAAAAAATGCATGCTCAGGAGAAGGGCAGTGGCTGGAAGTTGGAGGGGATTTTGCTGGGAGCTGCCGGGAAGTGGGCTGCCATTCGGCTGGCGTTTGACTGGGAAGGGCCATTTTAAATGGCTGCTACTGAACATAGATAATATCTCATGACTTCTCCAAAAATGAGACCCCAACATCTCTTCAGTAAGAGAATTATTGCAATGTTAAATACTGTAGTTAGGAGCAGTTAAACCTACAACTGCTGAGGGTCATTTGAACCTTAAATAATAGAAAATGCTGTGTAGACAGCTGCTCCTACCTTTGGAACATCACTATCTCAACATGGCCCCAAGAATGTTGATTTTTTTTTTTTGTACAGCTGACAAATACAGATAGCTTTGCTGTGTAAGGATATTTACCTAATGACTGAAAAGGTACATGGAAATACTGCTTAGAATGATGTTAACATCACAATTTTGATATATTATGAGGCCATAATATCAAATTTGTGATCTTAATATTCTAAGCAGTGTGCAGATTAGGAATCGCTTTGACAGTATTGGGTGCAATTCTTTTATCCAAGAACCCTGCGCCCTCTAAGACTTTGTATAATTGGTTGGCACTTTTTATAAGGTAGAGCGGTGATAAACCGAGGAATTAATCAAAAAAAAAAAAAACACCCTTTCATACTGAGCTGTGCTTTTAAGAATGAGAGATCAGAATTTGTTTCAATGTTTTAAAAAAATGTATGGATTTCTTATCTTCTAAGATGTTTGTCTGAACCCAAAGAAAATGGATATTTCAAGCATTTATTTATTGTAAGTCATATAATTAAGTCAGAATTTACCAATCATATCAAATATTTTATCAACATTGTGCAGCCATATTGCAAAACGCAGCAAATTTAACTAAATTGACAGGGCAACGGCCTCCTGAAAAACCAGTATGAAAAGCAGAAAAAAAAAGGTACATGGCTGCAAAAAACTTTGAGTTTGCAGTAAAGTTTCTTAAAACTTTGATGCAGGGTTTGGACCGGTAAACAACATTAAAGATTAAATAGGTTTTGGCACTGATTCAGAACATAAGTGTGCAGGATTTGGAGATAATTAAAAGAAACCTTAGAGAAGCTGATGAAGATAACCCTAAATAAATAAATATAGGCAAATATTCCAGCAGAGGTTTGAAATAAGAAATTTCTTTTCCCCCAGATGCCTATATTAAATATGCACTCAGCATATGATTGAGTCCCTGACTGCAGCTTTGTGTCATGTATGGCCTTATATACATTGGTTTTTGGCCAAAAAACAAACAAAAAAACAGGTCAAACATGTAATGGGCAAGTGAAATAAAAAAAGTCCAAGTATTAATACAAATAATACAAAACATTAAATGTTGAGCAATTAATTCTGTGCAGGCTTTGTTGTGCATATTATTTTGGACAAGGGATACTTTTATCAGAAAGAATTGTGGGAGTAGTTACTCAATTATTAAAATGTTCTGTCATAGTTACAAATATTCCATTATTACTAAAGCTTTTTTGGTCTCAGATAAATAACTAGGATGACATATCACTAAATATACATTTAAATATTCTATAAAATATACCCTGCTCAACTTTTACCTATCTTATCTTTTGAAAATCCATAACTCACTTGAACTAGGAGTAAAATTAGCCTTTTAAATTTAACAGTTTTCACTTTTTAGGCTCCTCTAACAAAATATAAGACAAATCCCTCTGGCAATTCTACGGGTATCCCAATCTTAGTGGTTCTAGGCAAACAGTAAGTCTAATGAGCAAACAGAGTCCATCTTTGCAAATGGAAATACAATATAAGTGTGGCTTTGAGGGCCTCAACCACTTTTTACAGAACATTGGTGAAAACAGCATCATGGATGCTAAGGAACTCAGCCAGGTCAAATATAAATTGTTCAGAAGGCTAAAATATTTTTTAAAATATAAAATACTCCAAGGTTTCATACAGATCATAAATACTTGTGTAGAAAGAGGCACAAATCTATCGTCAAGTAGCTTTCTTGCAAGTATAGCATCAATCCGAGCAGCAGCAATAGGTTCATGAAACCTATGGACAATCTGCAAAGATGGGCTGTACATGCAGATTTGTATGTTCTGCTACTATCCTTTTTATCTATTCTCTTATTTTTTTTAAAGCATTCAATCTAAATATTGTGGGGTTTTTTGGCGTTGATTACGTTGTAAAAGATGAGAAACCAAAATTAAATTCCTTGTTTCCTTGTTAAACACAACTCCTTAAGTGGACTGATATTCTGGCAACAGTATACCTGACTGTAAACCTAAGATTTATAAGAAATTATTAAAAGATGTTCCAAGAAATTTTTGTTTACAATTAAATTTAAACCTTTAGAATGAGGTACACCTTGTTAAAAATTTGACCCATCAAGTTTTTTTTAGGACTGAGGCCGATACAAATTATTTTGACATCGGTCAAAACGATTGCCAGTATGTGATGCAAATTTTCTAAGAGACTATTTTTGAAGGTGATATTGTTTTTTTTATTTTTCTCCATTTATTCGATGAAAATGACAGAATGATAATCATTATATAAGTCTCAATTCAGACACAAAGTAAAAATGTATTATACAAATAAAAAAAAACATTAACAATGGATAGTTTCGTAAATGGAGGGAGTTGGACTTCACTTGATCTCAAGACATGGCTGCTGAATGCACTAATAATTCAGCTAAAATATGCACATTTCAGCAGATACAGGTACAAGCAAAAAAGCTACTATCAGCAGACCGATGTATCGGTCTATCTTATCAAGTTGTGCGATTTCCCCAAAACTAAACACCTTGCCCAAGATGCATCACACTCATAAAACATGATGGCAGCAAATTAGTAGGTTGAATCTATGAAATTTGTGTAATGTATTGATTGTATGTATATGATAAAAAAAAAAAAAACTAAAAACTTTTTCTTTTTTTTTCCGGGAATGAAAAACTACAGGCCTAAAATGTTAAAAGCATAGGTTTTAGAATGGCCCAGGAAAAATCGTGACCAATATTTAAACCAAAATATGACTGAGAGGAATTTATGTTCACAGACCCTCTAAATGTCAAAAAGAATTTGCAGAAACATAAAAATACTTGAAGTTCTAATTGCAGGTTATTGTACAAACTATTGACCCTGTGGCAGTGAATTCAAATGCAAACCAAGCTCTTATTAGAATGAAACATTTTGTGCACCTTTTAAAAAAATGCAATATTTTCTAATTTGTCAGTAAAATAAAATGGTTCCAAGATACCAAAACATGGAAAAAGAGTTCAAGAGTTCTAAATAATTTTTAAGGTAATCCCAGTATTTGTTTGGATAATAATACAAAGATATCGATGGAAACTAGAACAACTTGCTTAATGTGTTAGTAATTACAATGGGGTTGCCTTAGGATGACAGAACTGTGACTGCATCTGAATTAACCTTTGAATTTAAAGTGAGTTTCAGCTGACTTATTTTTAAATGCTGTTTAAAGTGTGTATACAAGGAGCTGTGCGCTAATACAGCTCATAACAGGGTTCTTCCAACAATACAATAATGAAAACATTTACCATCCCCTAAAACGACGCACAGTGATACTGCTGTACACTTCGGCTGCAACCCACTCATTCTAAAGATATCACATGTAGACCCACTTTGCAGCACTTACACACGCTCCATGAGGAGCTTATTATTATCAATCTACCCTCGATAGTTTAGTAGACATGAAATGTTACAGACTTAAAACCCAAACCTAAGAAAAACAGCTTAAACAGCAAAGCTGTTATCACTTAATTTGAATTCGGCATTGTCTGCTCTGGTTCAACAATGTAAGCATTTCCAAAAATAAACTACTGCAGTGTACTTTTTAAGCATTCTTCTGATTCAGGAAACCAAGCGACGCATGTAGATACTTACAGTCAAGTAGCGAGCATCCAAATCCACCTTCTTCTCAAGCTCAGAGAGCAACTCATTGTGGAAGCTTTTCAACTGAAAAATAAACCAAAAGGAAAACAGAAACGTCTCATTAAACAGGAATGGTTTCACAGAAGACGTTATGAATGCCTTGACAAACAAAGTGCTGGCTTGTGAAGTATCAGTATATTTCAATAAAGGTTTTGGTTCAAGATTTTATTAAAATGTAGAAAATATTTTGAATATTTGTTGAGTACGCCACATGTAACTTGATAAGTAATGCAATTATTTAGTCACTTTTTAATACATTTGATCATTTTTACTATTATTTATATTTTTCTAAATATCCTGCATTGTCAGAATTCAAGCCTGAAAATATATATTCTATAAAGTGTTCAACTGCAAATAGCTTCCTGCATCCATATACATTAAAGTTTTTATATATATATATAAAAGACAATAAATAGTTTTATATCCTTTGCGATTTAAAGATTGTTGAATAAGGTTCACAGCTTCAGATGCATAGAAAAACTTACATAATCACCTCTATTTTGAAATTCTTTTACTTTCACCATTTTAACAGTGACTTGGTGTAGCTCCTCAAAATTACATTTACCCAACTGTCAAGGATCAACATAAGCTCTTTATCCCTGTTTCAAAGAGTTTTGCATCAAAGATTTATTTAAAAGATATTACATTTGCATTTTGTCTCTAACAAAATGAATAACTGCCAAGTCATTACAGAAGGTCAGATTATATCTGTAGTTCTAATAAAGTTTCAGTGCTTAGAAAATCCTTAATATTTTAGGTATTGATCTAAATTTTATAATATAAAGGCAGTAGTGCTTGTTACCTGAATGTGTGGAGAGAAACCCACAGGTGATCCCTCATAAAACCTTTTGTATCTCAGGTATGCAAATCAGGGTCTAATTTCAGGCGATATTAGCATTTTTGTCTTGTATCGGCTGATATGTGCTTATTTAGGCCGATTCATTGTGCATTCAGGAGCTATGGCTTGAAATCATGTGACACGCATTCATTGCTGCTCCATCCAGTTGCTATCAATTGTTAATATGTTTTCTCAGTAGAAGTATTTTTGTTTTAATTGAGACTTGTGTAACGTGTTATTTTATTTATATGTGTTATATATTATACATTCTCTTCCACATCATGTAAATAAAGAGAAAGCAATATTGGCATAATTGGCAAAAAAAAAAAACATTACACCAGTTACAGTGATATCAGAAGGATCTCATCTGCATTTAAAAAATAAAAACCTTTATTGGTCAATCTCTGGTGCAGATTAGAGTGGCTGGTTACTTAGCGTTTTAAACTAACAGTACTGAAACTGTAAAAGGGCTACTAAAAAGATGCCATTATTTTTTACCTAACATGCTATAAAAGCTAAGTTAATGCTCAAATTATGTTCATAAACAGTTAAAAAAAATTGACTTATCAAATGCAGGAGAATTTTGACCATGACACTAAGATTGAAGGACATGCATTTCCAAATGCATTTTTGGCCCAAAGCAAAATTTCCACATATTATTACTAATAACTGTATTTTTTATTGGAAAATTTGTGTCATAATTTTGCTTGAAAATCAAAACATCTAAGGCAACAAAATGTCATTATGATAATAACATTGACACCTTTCTTGAGGTCAATCTGCAAAAAAAAAAACAACAAAACTCACTTTAGTTTTGAATTCATCTTTGCCTTCTATGACAACCAGAGGCAAAGAGTAACTGGTCAAATTTACTTGAGTAACAAAATGTACACCAAGAGTAATTTTACTCTAACCTTTTACGATTACATGAGCAACATTTTTTAATTCAACACTACCCTTATTTGAGTAAAATTTCTGGCTGCTCACCTCTGGTTATTTTAGTGAACAATAAGGAAAATTGTTTAGATTAAAAAAGCTACAGTCACATGTGCAGCATCTGGTATGTCACTATTGTTTTTCATTGACAGGTAATGTCAATATGGAGTAAAAGTAGAGTCAGTTACTTCAGGTTGTTTGCTCTGTTCTATCATGAGTGTCTTTCCTACTGTATGGGGGAGTGGTGGCCCTAGTGGTTAGGGCATAGAGCCTGGAATCCTGAGGTTCTGAGTTTGAGCCCCACTCCACAGACTGCATCTCTGGGTCTCTGAACAAGACCCTTAACCCCACACTGCTCCCAGGGCGACCCATTATGGCAGCCCACTGCTCCCCGACGGGATGGGTTAATAGGAAGAGGTAAATTTCTCCAATGTGAGACCAATAAAGTTCAATGATATTATTATATATATTTATTTATATATTTATTATTATAAATATTATTATTTATGTATTGATTTCAAAGTTATAATGGAACTCCAGCCATACTACATTTGTGTCTTTTAATGTGGCAAGGTAAAGGGGTGGGTTTTGTTGGACGTGTGCACTACCAACAAACCAACATGATTCGCTGGTGCTTCAGTTGAACTAACTGCATAAGAAATGATTTAGCTGCAGACCTGTGTATAGAGTCTTAATTGGAAGGGACTGAAACTGAGGTGGAAAGGGACACATTACAAAATAAATTCCTCTATAAACTTTAAATGAAAACCTTTACAGACTTGTGGAGTCACTGCAAGCCACACAGGAGGGAGAGATAAGCCACAGGCCACCCACTCCTGTATTACAAGTCAAACTCATATGATTTTATGCTCCTTTGTAAAAAAAATAAAAAATCTTATTTTGCAGGATGGCAGTTTTGAAGGAAAATCTTAAGAGTTTAAATAGAAATTATATTTTACTGTATTTTATCTGGTATATCAAGGACTTCAGGTATAAATCTTTGTTATGAAGACATGAACTGTTGTAGGAACATCTTGAAGCAATAAAAATAAATTTGCTTTTGCATCCTTGTAGTAACTTGTTCCTCTGTGCATATACACTATATTGCCAAAAGTATTTGCTCACCCATCCAAATTATTGGAATCAGGTGTTCCAATCACTTCCATGGCCACAGGTGTATAAATTCAAGCACCTAGGCATGCAGACTGTTTTTACAAACATTTGTGAAAGAATGGGTCGCTCTCAGGAGCTCAGTGAATTCCAGCGTGGAACTGTGATAGGATGCCACCTGTGCAACAAATCCAGTCGTGAAATTTCCTCGCTCCTAAATATTCCACAGTCAACTGTCAGCTGTATTATAAGAAAATGGAAGTGTTTGGGAACGACAGCAACTCAGCCACGAAGTGGTAGGCCACGTAAACTGACGGAGCGGGGTCAGCGGATGCTGAAGCGCATAGTGCGAAGAGGTCGCCAACTTTCTGCAGAGTCAATCACTACAGACCTCCAAACTTCATGTGGCCTTCAGATTAGCTCAAGAACAGTGCGCAGAGAGCTTCATGGAATGGGTTTCCATGGTCGAGCAGCTGCATCCAAGCCATACATCACCAAGTGCAATGCAAAGCGTCGGATGCGGTGGTGTAAAGCACGCCGCCACTGGACTCTAGAGCAGTGGAGACGCGTTCTCTGGAGTGACGAATCGCGCTTCTCCATCTGGCAATCTGATGGACGGGTCTGGGTTTGGCGGTTGCCAGGAGAACGGTACTTGTCTGACTGCATTGTGCCAAGTGTAAAGTTTGGTGGAGGGGGGATTATGGTGTGGGGTTGTTTTTCAGGAGCTGGGCTTGGCCCCTTAGTTCCAGTGAAAGGAACTCTGAATGCTTCAGCATACCAAGACATTTTGGACAATTCCATGCTCCCAACTTTGTGGGAACAGTTTGGAGCTGGCCCCTTCCTCTTCCAACATGACTGTGCACCAGTGCACAAAGCAAGGTCCATAAAGACATGGATGACAGAGTCTGGTGTGGATGAACTTGACTGGCCTGCACAGAGTCCTGACCTCAACCCGATAGAACACCTTTGGGATGAATTAGAGCGGAGACTGAGAGCCAGGCCTTCTCGTCCAACATCAGTGTGCGACCTCACAAATGCGCTTCTGGAAGAATGGTCAAAAATTCCCATAAACACACTCCTAAACCTTGTGGACAGCCTTCCCAGAAGAGTTGAAGCTGTTCTAGCTGCAAAGGGTGGACCGACGTCATATTGAACCCTATGGATTAGGAACGGGATGTCACTTAAGCTCATATGTGAGTCAAGGCAGGTGAGCAAATACTTTTGGCAATATAGTGTATTTGTTAAAATATTCCAATAGATGAAGTCATTGTTAAAACACACAACCACAAACCACTTTAACTTGGAAATACCAACCATTTCCTCGAGCTGCACTTGGATCTGTCTGTGGACCTCAGCCATCTGGAACAGCACGTCCCCTTCACAAGGAGAAACAGAGACATGGAGAAAACAGTATAAATAACCTAAAATACAAACAAAAATAGGATAGAAGAAGAAAACTGGGAGAGAGAAAAAAGTTCAAATGAAAAAAGCAAGAGAGAACCGTCAACCCCAACATGCAAAGCACGTGCACAAACACAAGACACATAACATACGTGACAGTAGACGTTTAACTGGGGTAATGAAGAACACAATGGATGCTTGTTATGAGATGAAAGAGACTGAAACGACTTCATATAAAACTGAATGAAAAAAAAAAAGTAAGCAAGCTAGATTTTAAAGCTTGTGCTTTTTTAAAAGACATCAATATGTCTTCTGGATTATTGAAGTAAAAAGTTTATAGCCTTTAAAATAAATAAAATAAAATATAGAAAAATAAAGAAGGGGCATGCAACTACAATTATCTTTCATGTACCTACAGTCTGCCTCTTCTGAAATTGCAGTGCATTGTCAAGAAAAACAAGAAGCACATTGAGCCAAGGACACGTACCAAACAGAGACCTGGTGGAAAGACTCAAAAATCCAAACGTACAGGAAAAAGATGAGAATGACATTTTCTTAAACTGTGTGTCCAAACCCTCTAAGTTCAGTTGAAATTGTACAAGTTTTCAGCACAGTGAGTTACAGGTCTTGAAAGCAATTAGCTTAAAATGAATGAAGAACAAGTCAAACTTTGAATATCTTGAAAGGAGCAGCCTCCCTTCAGCAGAACTTCATTTTGCTTTTAGACTTCTACTGGGGATGTTAAATGTAAAAGTGTGTCAGCCAACTTCAAAATATCTGTCATTGTATGGACATAATCATACTGGAGAAAGGATCATTAGAGAGACCTTAGCGGAACCTGCATGCTGACATCTGATGTCAGTTTTCTTTTCTGGCTCATTTCACATTCTCCTGCTGCGTCCTCTTAGGAACGATGACCTATTAGCAGCGCCTCTTAGTCCATCTCACAGAGCTTTGCTAGTGAAGTTTGATCTCTTGCAGAAGTTAAGTAAAAACTTTAACTCTGCAACCAAATGCGCTAGAGTGGCTCTTAATTTAAGCAGAGAGCAAGAGAAAAGAAAACAAGAGGACAAAGAAATAACTGATGGAGCAGACTTGGCCAGTGAAGCACAAACTTTTTATACCTTCAGCCATACTAAAAATTTACCAAATTAAGACTGAAATAATCAGTCGGATTAATTGATTATTGAAATAATCATCAACTAATTTATTAATCGATTAATCATTAACTGGAGTATAGAGAATTTAAAACATATCTTTAGCTCACAGAGCGACCCACTTAGAGCAGTATTATACCAAAATTGTAAAGAAAAAAATAAAAATATATAAAGATTTTGCATTTAAGATGAAAAAAAGTAAAAATTTTCATCTGTCAATATTCTCTATCCAAAACTCCTGATGTGGACAAATTTACTGTCACCTGGTTTAATTTCATAAAAATCTTCTTTAAGGAACGTTTGGCCATTTATTTTATAACTTTTTAACTTTGGCCATCTGATTATTAATCGATGAATCAAAAAAAAATAAAATAAAATAATCGACAGATTGATTGACTTTCAAAATAAACATTAGTTGCAGTCCTAAATCAAATGCAGTACTGAGGGAGGTAATGGGAGGTAACTGCTGATCTTTTAATTGAGGCAAATTTACTGCCAAACAGGGTTTAGGTTCAAACAACTATTGGTTTAAAATGAAAAATCCTCTGAAAAGGCAATAATATTCTCAAGGCCATCATACCCATGCCTTGTCCCTGCCTGTGCCTGTGCAAACGCCTTTATAAAAAAACATAGGAATGTTTTTTGTGTGCAATATTTAGCAACATCTTGCATAACCATAGTGTATGTTTTACTTGGAAAATTAAGATATTCAGTAACTGTCCCTAATGGACTCATCTCTCTCTAACCCAAAAGGAATAGCAATTTTGCCCATGTTGCAACCTGTCTGCTGATCTTCTGCCTCACAGAAACAGAGGAGAGGCCAAAGCATCCAGTCAATTCCCAGCAGGCCTTCTAAGCAGCTTACACATCCCTGATCAGAGCCCTGTGAGCTTAGAAACTCTGCCATTCTGTTGGCTTCAACTAGATGGATTAATTAACTAATGAGCATCATCACTAGACTGCAAAAGAAAATCACAAAGATGCATATGTCATCTGATAATAGCAGGGCAAGGGTTTACAGGGAGCCAAAAAGCTGAAAAGTGATTGCATTTCCATGGCATCTTTACTCATCTTCTCTATTTTCATCACTGCACACTGTAAAAACCCAAGCCACAGAGAAAATATACAGAATATCACACTCTGGCAATGTAAATGGTTACCATGGCAATTCCAATATGAGAGCCCATGACAACAGTAACAGGAAAATGATGCTGGAAAAAAACATGTGAATTTTAGCATCTGATACTCCAATCAGTGATTTGTAATGAGACATAATGAGAGGAATTAAATGCAATGTGCCACTTTCATGTTTGTCCTAGAAAATGTCTGGCAGGTATTACATAATGTACAAGACTCACCTACGAGCTATTGGTCTGAACTCTGGTAAATACATGAATGTATTATGACACGTTGAAAACCACAGGGACAAAACAGAAAACAAGCACAGGTATATAATAACAGTGGTAAATGGACCTGTGCCATTACCGTTTCAATATTTCCAAGCTCACTAGTAACATTGAATGTTTCCATGGTGCACAGAAAACAATAGTTTCTTTGTACAGGAGCTATGCACCTGCAGCTCTGCAACAAGCAGACACATGTCTGCTAGCTTAAAACACTGAGTCAGGTAGGGACACATGACTGCAGAACTTGTGTGCCTACGAACAGACTCTACCCTGAAGTGTGACATCAACTTGTGCACTGTGGATGTATTGACTCCTTGTGTAACAGCAGTGATGTTACACCCACACAGGTGGAGAGAGAAAAAACAGAGAGACAGTAACAGAATGTGGGCTATCTAGTAGGAAAAAAAAAAGTGGAAGTTTGCAATGCTGAACAGGGAGAATGAGAGAGAAGAATGGAGGTGGATGGAGAGACACTGAATCACTAGTGAAGGTCAAACCAGATTCACCAGGGGTTGTCATGGAAGCAGGATAATACTAGGGTTGTTGCCATGGGAGAAGCCATAAAACGAGAAGCAATGCTTGAAAAACGTTGTGTACTAAATCCCATTTAGAAATCACCTCCCTTACTATCAGCTCGTGTTACATAAGAATACACACCACGCTTCTAAAGAGAAGTGTGGTGTGTGTACCCCCACATGCTGAGTCTGTCTTCAGTTCTGTGCATGCCTGCTCGCACTGTGTGTGTGGCTTAACACAGACGTTAATACCTGCCTTCCTCACATTCCGACTCCAAGGGGAAACAAACAAGTGGGCAAGAATAATAGGGATGCAGGATAATGTGTGAGACGTAGGTAATAGCTGAGACTCCAGGTGGGCATGTGAGTGTGACTATAGTTCATTAAATTACATCATCTAAATGCAGTTCATTTTGATGTGGAGGGAGTTGAGATTAGATCATTTATTCTTCATATAAACACAAATGCATCCATTTCATGAAATGGTTGCTAAATTCTGTTTGAACTCTTTCCTCACAGGAGGAAAACTACAGTCATCACAGCTGTTTGTAGATTTATTTTCCTTTTTTTTCTACTAGCAACGGTGTCATGCATTCAGGCCATAATGAAGGTTTAACAAGATCTGCTCAGTTGCCAAATAGAAGTAGGTCATTTTACAGCTACAAGTAATCTTGACATTAAATACAAGACGATCAGAGGGAAGATGCAGCATTTAAACCATTTGGGATCAGTGAATAAAAATCCTGACCTCATTTTAAAATGGTGTTTTTATATTTCGAAAGCTAATGATGCATTCATTATACTAATTAAACAGCAAAAAAAAAAAAAATTATAGAGAGGATAACTTGAACTTTTGGGCAGATGTTTACAGCGTTTATATTTTTTTTGTGTTCATCTTTAACAATAAAGGGCATCCAAAAAGTATTCAAGCACTTTGCTTTTCAAATATTTAGCTATATTAGAGGCTTATTCCAAATTAGGTCTGAAACAACTATTCAGCTTAATCGTGATGAATCAATTATTGAAATAATCGTCAGGTAAATTAATAATCGATTAATCATTAACTGGAATATAGAGACTCTTAAACATGCCTTTAGCTGACAGAGCAACCCACTTGGAGAAGTAATTATACAAAAATGGTAAAAGAATTTAAACATTATGCATTTAAGAACTACACATAGTAGTAGGCCCACCTACTACTATTGCACATATTTATTAGGGGGGCCACATGCCGAAGGCATGGCCCACCTATTACTATTGCACATATTTATTCCGCGTATTATTATTATAGCTTATAGTTCTCCTCGTCCCCTAAAAACTTCGGCGCATAACTAGTCACGCACCATTCGTCGGATCAGGCCCCAAGTTGGCACACGCGTAGGGACCAATGGGGCGATGCGTGCTTGTATAAAACTTTCTCATTAGTCCGAAGGTTTGCGAATTATTAGCGAAGACGTCGCAAAAAAATCCCATAGGAAATGAATGGGGAGAGGAAAAAAAAAGCATAAAAAACAGCATTTCACTGTGTCACCATACATTCACCTAAAAAAACAGTTTAAAGCTCAGTTTGTAGATAAATCCTTCGTCTATTTAAAACTGAAGACGGCATGTTGATAACTGCTACGGTTTTTGTATAATCAGACCTCAAGCGCCACAAAGTTTTAGCAAAATCCTGCCTCCTAGAGTGGAGCAACTGAAAAGCTAGAGTGTGAGGCAGCCGTTTTTTTAAGACCAAAAAACATTTTAAACTCGCCCTCACGGCCACATATTTATAGCTAGAGTCACCATTTTTGGTCAGTTTGTAGACTGAAATCTCTGGACCCACACAATGTCTTCGGAATTACGGTAGGATTCAAACTTTTCCTTAAAAACCCTCCAGACCGACCTAAAGTCGATGAAAATCAGAGCATTTTTCCATTGGTTTTGGAGCAGCAGAGGGGAGAAAAACGATTGACAGTATGTGTTTTAAACTCGTCATAAA